AGTTGTTGGACCTTTGTGGGAAAGGATTAAGAGGGTGGCTTTGTTGGTGGGCATCCATTTCTAAGGAGTGGCTTGCAGGCTTCCAAGGCCAGTACTCTTCCCATTTAGCTGACTCTCTGTCCCATGACTGATCCTGAAGATCCAATCTTTCAGTTACTCCTGCAGTGCCATGCCTACCTGCCTGCTGCCATGCTCCCTGCTGTGATGCTCATGGGAAACTGTAAGACCCCAATGAACGTGCTTCTCTAAGTTGCCTTGGCCAAGGTGTCTTATCCCAGCAATAAGACAGGAAGGAAGACACAGGACTGGCCTCACCTTAAAGACAGGAGACATGCAGACATGACCACACCCATTGCTGCAGCACTTCATTTCCTCGGAGCATGAGTCATCTCCTGAGCAGTTTTCAACACAAATTCCAACAGTGTTGGGGGACAGCTCGGGACAAGCTCCAGGGTTTTGTGTTGCTGAAATATACAATGATGTTTATGGTGGCTGAAGCAGTCAGAAAGACAAGCTTGAAAAATGATGCTAGAGGTCTCAAAGCCTCATCACCTGTAGACTAGTTCATTCTATATTCTGCTTTGCATCTTAGAGCTCTCTTTTCAGCTTTACCAGCTCCAGTCTTGCTCTTAAACCTGAATGTTCACCCAGGCCCTTGGGAGAGTTTCCTCCTTCTCCACAGCCTACTCAGTCTCAGCAGAAAGAAACTTCTACCCTCACAGCCCCTTCTCAAGGCCTTAGAAGATACAAAAAAAAAATCTCTAATGACAGCCACACCTCTTTCATCCCAGCACACCCCAAGTTCATCTCTGAGCAAGCACTCCTTTGAGTCCCCATGTAAGTCACATCTACAGACTAGGGGAGCTGCCTGGTCTCTACCCCAGCTGCTGTCTAATGCAACTCTGTCTGTCTGTCTGCTCTCTGTCTTAAGACAGGAAATACAAATTGATCATATTTATAGGCCAAAAAAAAAATGTTGAGTTTGAGCCAAACAGAGGACACTAGGGTTTCCCCTGTGGTAACTCAGCCCCAGGCCCTCCTGGGCTTTGCACTGTCTATGCTTACACTTTGGATCCCTTTAACACACTTACTTTGGGAAGAAGACAGAGCGCAGGCAGTGTTCATACCCATGGTGATCAAAGTCACCAGAACCAAGACTGTGGCTCTCTTCATGTTGGCTCTGTCTGGGCTGAATTCAGAGAGTGAAGGTAGAAATCTGGGTGTGGAAGGAGGCAGCCAATCAGGAAATACAGAAAAGGGAGCTTTTAAAGTGCCTGCAAAGAACTTGGCTCTTTGTTTCATAACAGGCTTCTCTCTAATCACAGTTAGAGTATTGTTCCTTGGTAGGTACAAATAATAACCAGGAAAATATCAAGAACACAGCTTCAGACTTCCTCCCTACTTCACAGCTTGACCTTTATATGGATGATGAACCAAGGAAATGTTTATTTCTGTGGAGCTCCACACGTCAGAGTGAGATCTGAAGCAGAGAAGCCAAGTGAGGAGTGCCAACGCCCATCTGGGCTTCCTGGACATTAGGTTGAGGTAGCATGCCTCTGGAAGAGATGGTGGTGTCCTCTGGAGCTCTGCAGAGGACATTCCTAAACAGGTGTGGAGTCTGGGCCCCTCTTACCTGGAGATATAGGTAATGAAGTCACTCCTGGAAGAGATGGACAGTCAAAGACTTCAAACTGCTAGGGCCTGCTGAACATAAAGAGGCAAGCTCCATTATGTTGGTTGGTTGTCTTTGACCAATGCTTTCCTGTAAGACAGATCTTTAGAAAGGAGGCTACAAATGTGAGCAGTGGAGGGAATAGAGCTACAGGAAACATTTTACTGTCCTTAGCCCCTGAGTAGGGGATTGCCTCTTTTGCTAGCCCAACAACAGACTGAGAGAAAGAGCTGTTGCTGCAAAGCTCATGAGCTGTGAGAATGCCCCAGACATCGTGTGGCTGGCTGTGCAGTTTCTTCTCTTTGTAGGGTCACTTCTCAGGACTTGAGAAGGTTTGTCTGGTGACATGCTTTGCTCCATGTGTTTCCAGTCCTTTCTTCAGATTGAGGAGACATTGCTGGGTGCCTGTAACTTTCCCCCTCTGTTGTGTGTATGCTCTGACAGAAAGAGAAGCAACTTCATTTGTATTTGTTTATAAAGTCACAATGTATGGAATAACCATAAATTCACAATATATACCAGTGTTGTTGTTTTGTTTGTTTGTTTGTTTGTTTGTTTGTTGTTTTGTAATTTTTTTGTTTGATTTTGTGACAGGGTTACTCTGCGTAGCCCTGGCTCTCCTGGACCTTGCTCTATAAACGAGACTGGCCTCAAACTCTGAGATCCACCTTTCTATGCCTGCCCAGTGCTGGGACTAAAGGCATGCACCACCACCACTTGACTTAAGACAGCAGAGAGTTTTTTTTCCATTAGTTTATTTATGTAATCACTTTAGAGCCTGACTGCAGACCCCTTCCTTGTCTCCTCTCAGTCACACTCTCATATCTTCCTTCCCAATGTTCCCAACCCATTCTTCTAGAAGAGGGGAGGGCCCCATGGGTACCAACCTACCCCAGCACATCAAATCATAACAGGACCAAATGCCTCTTCTCCCACTGAGACCTGGCAAGGCAGGCTAGCTTTGGGAATGGGATCCAAGGGCAGGCAACAGAGTCAGTGAGAGCCCCTCCCATTGCAATAAAGAACTGAGGAAATTAAACACCAGCAAACCAAATGACCCAATCAAAAATGAGGTACAGAGCTAAACAGAATTCTCAACTGAGAAATCTCCTGTGGTTGAGGAGCACTTAAAAATGTTCAGTGTCATTAGTAATCAGGGAAATGAAAATCAAAATAACTCTGGATTTCCCTCTTAAACCTTTCAGAATGGCTAAGATCAAAAACTGAAGTGACAGCACATGTTGGTGAGGATGTGGAGAAGGGGAACACTCCTCCATTGCTGGTGGGAGTGCACATTCATACAACCACTGTGCAAATCAATCTGGTGTTTTCTCAGAAAATTGGGAATGTTCTACCTTAAGACCCTGCTCTACCACTCTGGGGCGTATATACAAAAGTTGCTGCACCACACAATAAGGATGCTTCCCCAACTATGTTCATAGCGGCTTTATTCATAATAGCTAGAAACCGGAAAGAGCCTAGATGTCCCTCAACCACAGAATGGATAGGAAACTCTGTTCAATTCACATAATGGAATACTACTCGGCTATCAAAAACAAAGATATCATACAATTTTCAGGCAAATAAAGGGAACTTGAAAATAGCATCTTGAGAGCTCAGTTCGGCAGCACATATACTAAAATTGGAATGATACAGAGAAGATTAGCATGGCCCCTTGTTGTAGGCGGTGATTAATATTTACTATTGGTTTATCATCTAGTAAAGCTTGCTGTTAATCTTAAACAGCTGTATAACCAAATCACCACACAGAGACTGGGTTTTTAGTTAACCTAGAACACAATGCTGGGCAATATTTACTCCCTCCTAAACCTCCAAGCCCTCAGTTTCCTAACATTTAGATTTCCCACATTATACTTGCTTTTTGTAATCTTAGGTTTGGTTCATGCTCCACGTCCTCCAAGATCTCCCTCCAGCTCTGCTTTCTCACTCCTCCTCAACCCTTCTCCTCCCTCTCATTTCCTGCCCTCTAGCTCCTCCCCTCTTTCCTATCCTCTGGCTCCTCCCATTGCACAACATTGTATCTAGTTGCTTTATTTTGTCCTGTTTACACAAGAGCTGAGACAGGATGCTTACAATATCCGGATTGAAACCAGAGAGTTGGGGGTGGGGAAATCAGCATTTGAATTAACAAGGGTAAGGCATATACATTTTAAAAGAACATTATACCAACAGCCCCTGCACAAGGATGACAACCTAAATTCGTGAGGCGGTCCATATTTTTTGATAAGTGGGTACTAGACCTATAACATAGGATAAACATACTGAAATCTGTACACCTAAAGAAGATAAACAAGAAAGAGGACCCGGGTTAAGATGATCAATCCTCACTTAGAAAGACAAATGGAATGGACATTGGATGTAGGAGAAAACAAGTAACAGGTCAGGAGCCCATCACAGAAGGCATCTGAAAGACTCTACCTAGCAGTGTATCAAAGCAGATACTGAGACTCATAATCAAACCTTCGGCAGAGTGCAGGGAATCATATGAAAAAAGGGGGAGTTAGAATGACCTGGAGAGGACAGGAGCTCCACAAGGACCAAATGTTGCTGGGCACAGGGGTCTTTTCTGAGACTGACACTCCACCAAGGACCATGTATGGATATAACCTAGAACCCTTGCTCTGATGTAGCCCAGGGTAGCTCAGTATCCAAGTGTGTGTCCTAGTAAGGGGAGCAGCAACAATTTCTGACATGAACACCATGGCTTGATCTTGGACCTCCCCGCTTCCTCGAGGGAGGAACAGCCTTGCTAGGCCACAGAGGAGGACTTTGCAGCCAGTCCTGAAGATACTGGACCTGAAGATACTGACCCTAGAATAAGCTAGGGTCAGATGGAAGGGGAGGAGGACCTCCCCTATCAGTGGACTTGGAAAGGGACAGGGAGGAGATGAGGAAGGGAGGGTGGAATTGGGAGGGAATGAGGGAGAGGGCTACAGCTGGGTTACAAAGTTAATGAGCTGAAACTAATATTAAAAAATAAACACTTAATGAAAAAAAAAAGAAAATATCATCTTGAGTGAGGTGACCCAGACCCAGAAAGACATGTATGGTATGCATGTCCTTAGAAGTGGATATTAGCCATAAAGCACAGGATGGCCATCCCAGAATCCATAGAGCCAAAGAAGCTAAGTTACAAGGAGGGCCTAAGGGAGGTCGCTGGAATCTCACTCAGAAGGAGAGATAAAATAGGCATCTGAAGTAGATGGACGGTGATGAAGTGTGTGGGTGGCAGAGAAGGTGGGGAAGAAAATGGGGGTGGGGATCAGGACTGGGGAGAAGTGTGGGGAGGTCTAGGAAAAGACTGGAAATTGGCGGGGGGGCACATCTTTGGGTCAGGGGAGGCTCCTGGGGGTATATGGTGGTGAGCTTAGCTGTGAGTCCTAGCAGCATGGGCCACGGAGTCTCAATTGGCTACCTCCTGCAGCCCAGGAGAACTTCCAGTGGAGGGACTGGGATGCCAACCCACACACAGAAGCTTCAATCCAGCCAACCAACTAATGATCCAATTTGAGTCACATGGCATGAGAGAGAGTCCCCCACTGACATTTTTAACAATATTGTGCCATCCTTGCAGACAGGAGGCTTGCATAACTGTCATCTAAGTGGCTTCACCCAGCAGCTAATGCAAACAGATGCAGAGACCTACAGCCAAACATAAGGTGGAGTGTGGGGAATGTTCTTGCAGAGGGGAAGGAAGGATTCAAAGAACCAGAGAAGTCAAGGACACAAGAAAACCTACAAAATCAAAGAGGCTAAACCCATAGGGGCTCACAGAGACTGAACCACCAACCAGAGAGTAGCCATTGGAAGGACCTAGCCACCCCTCCCTCAACAAACATGTCTAACAGATGTACAGCTAGGTCCTCATGTGAAACCTCCAAAAAGCAGGAGTAGGGGCTGCCTCTGACTCTGTTGCCTGCTCTCCAATCTCTTCTCCATAACTGGAAAGCCTTGTCTAGCCCTAGTGAAAGAAAATGATCCTGGTTCTACCTTACATGCCAGGGCAACTTGAAACCCATATGAAATCTCCCCTTCTCTGAAGAAAAAAGGGAGAGGGAAGGAGGATGAAGAAGGAACCATGAGGGGAAGAAAGAAAGGAAGTTCTGCTGAATTGTAAATCAATCAATCAATTAGAAGAAGGAAGGGTTTCCCTTTCCATCACTGATCCTTCGCAGTGATCCTCCATGAAACCCAACCATGCTGAGAAAACCTGCAATCGAAACTGGACATGACTTGTCCCTCATCCAGCTAAGGCCAGAGGAAGGGCAGAGGCACTTCCTAGACACCAGTGCTGTGCTGGTAGGACAGGAATGGTCCCAAGATAGTAGAGGCATTTCAGTTAAGTTCTGGCTTCCAATGTAGAGGGGAACTGGTGCCTCTAATCCATGATTTTTAAAAAGATTTTAGAAATTATTTTAATTTATATCTATGTGTGTTGGGAGCAGGGTATATGTGTACTAAATGCAGGATTCTGAGGAGG